TAGAATAGAATAGAATAGAATAGAATAGAATAGAATAGAATAGAATAGAATAGAATAGGACAGGACAGGACAGGGCAGAACAGAATAGAATAAAATAGAATAGAATGGATGGGACTGATCTCAGGTGCCTGACTTCAGAAGGATTTATCATCTCCTACTTTAAGCATCTACCAAATGCTTAAGCTGGAGCTCCATCCTCCAGACTCTCAGCAGTGGGGATAAAACCTTCTTCAAAATACAGTTCAAAGCAGGTTCTGAACCTGCTGGCTGTAATGAAGCAGTAGGAGAACCCTCTTGTTCTCCCTTTTCTGATGCACACACTGAGGCAGGTACATCTCAAATAAAGGGAACCAGCACCCAGATCCCAGTTGAGGGAGTTGCAGCTCTGGGTCTGTAAAGCCATCACTGATTCTACCTGATGTACAAGCTGCAATATCTATTTATAGAATTTGGGATGCCAAGGTAATTGCAGTTTGGCAGGTTTAAGCTCGATCCCATTCAGTGCTTGGGCTTGGGGATACGACAGAGATCCTGGGGAATATCAGATCACTGGGAATTAACAGCCAAATCACCCCTGATTGCAGTGGGAGCTGGGTTTCCTGGTGAGGTCTGAATCCTGAACTTCGATGCAGAGAAGATTTTCTGCTGTCCCTGGTGACTCACAGCTCAGAACCACGTGATCCCAACCATCTGTTTGCTAAACTTTCTGATTTAAGCTTGAAATACTTGAACTCCTTCTGCCTTGTCCCTCTGGGAAGAGCAAAAAGTAGCTTTAGTGCTGCCCAGTTCCTTGTTTGTTTGCTCTCAGTGTGCCCCAGAAACTTGGGATGGGAGGGGAGATCCCCCAGTTATCACCTCTAGAACCTCCAACCTGGCAAAGTCAGGCTGGTTTGGGGGCTACAAATGGCCTATTCCAGTCTCTGGGTTATTATTTGTTCTTGAGGAATGGAAACTATCAAGATCTTATGGAAATGCTGTGAAAGGTGCCTGGGAAGTGCCCCAGTGGTCTGAGGTTGTTGGCACTGGGGTGTGAGATGTCTGTGGGAACACAGCCTGCAGTGGGAGGCAGAATCTGTCTGAAGCTAAATATTAGCAAATAGTAACAAATATTAATATCTAAAGCTAAGTATTAGCAAATACTAGCAAAGATTAATATCAGACAGTACCCTGGAGAGAAGGTGAAGGAGACAGAGAGGACACAAGCTGTGATGCTGCTGATCCCCTTCACTCTCAGTCTGGGCTCCTTTAAGATATTGGGAGCCAGAAACAGATGCTTCTTATATTGTTTGTTATTTTCAAGCATCTTTTTTCTTTCACCAAAGTTCCCACTGGCCAAATTTTGCTATCAAAGCCATCTTTGCACTCTGATGACCTCCAGACTCTGCCTTTAGACATTTTTGTGCAATCTCATCTCCTGATTTTCCTATTACTGGCAGGAGGGCGGGCACAGGCATTAAAATAAAACACTGGTGATGCGCAGCCAGAATTAATCTTGATGGTGCAGAAGTGAAAAACAATGGAGATAAGCACCAAACCACTCACTCTTATGACTCAGTTGAGCAACGGGGCTCGAGTGCAGCGAGGGAGCAGCTCTGTGCTGGTTGGAGTTGATGTTTTTCAGAGCTGATCACGTCACTGCACGGGGGCTCAGCAACAAAGGGCTGCTGGAGGAAGGAAATGCTGAGCTCGTGCAGCCCCGGGTTCCTGAGGCTTTATCAAATCTGCAGCGAGATCCTGATATCTCTCAGGCCCACCGTGTGTCTGCAGGGCTGCAGGAAGTGCCTGGGCCTGACCTTTATCCACAACCAGAAGATTCCTTGGCAGTGCTTGTTTTTGCAGCCTCCAGCTCAGGAATGCTTTGGCTTTCCCTGGGGCTTGGGGAGAGGTGGGAAGCACGAGCAGGCAGCAGGATGGGCACACACAGACGTTCCTGTCGGAGCCTGGAGCACCCAGGAGCCACCAGCCAGCAGTGGGAGCACGTCCTGGCACCGGGATCCCACCCTGGGACACGGGAACAGGGGCTGCTCCTGCTCTGCCACATCCTCCTGCCAAACACTGCCCTGAGCCTGGGCTGCTCTTCCACCTTCTCTCTCCATGGACAAAAACTGGAGCCTGGGTTTTAGGCACCTCAATAACTAAATTAGGTCCATTCAACACTGACTCCACAGACACAGGTTTTCTGGAATAAGTGGTCAACACTTATACTATAAATACTGCAAGTAATACTATAATAATATACAACTAATACTATAAATACACTTTTTAGTGATAAGGATTGATTGCCACTGCTGTGCAGCTGCTTTGTTTTCCTTTTTAGCTAAATTCAGTATCAAGTTCATGAGTCATCTGCAGGTATCAGAGGGGAGGGAGAGAGTGGGACAATGTGATGCCTTAGAGAAGAAAACCACCATTTATTTTGTCACATTTTTTTTTACATCATCTTCTTCATACAACTGTTTCATTGTAACATTAATACATTTTTTAAAAAAACCCACCAAGATAGCTTGCAAAATTATATATATTTTAATATCCAAAAAAGTACATTGCATATATATAGTAGCAAAAGCCCCATTTCCATGGGTAATTTCTTCAAATACTTCAATTTTGCGATTATTGCAGTAATGTTACTTATCAACACCCCGAGAGCACTAAGACCTAAAGGGATTAGCTTGATCTTCTTTTTCCACTTTGTTAAATAATGGCATCAGTGCTTCTGTGTAAAGTTGTGAGCAGACTCCAGAGCTCTGAGTTCAGACTCTCCTGCAATCGGATGCACATGGACCAGACCTTGCCCCCACACAGAGCCCCAGAGGTTGTGTCTAGACTAGATTAGATAGTTGTGATCCTGTTAATTGGTTGCCAGTTAATACAAGTCATTTAATGGGTTCTACATGTAAATCTCACCCCCCCAGACATCTGTTCTAAAACCCAAATATTTGTGGTTCACCCTCTGTTTATGGCACCAAACCATCAAATTAACATGTGCAAAACTGGAGATGGCTGACAATTTGGGAATGTTTCAAATTTCAAGGAAAAGCCCCTACAGGAGGCATCAAAAAGGAGGTGGTTGATAATTTTATCGATGAAGTGGTTAAGATCTTCCCAAAGTTAAAGATTTTGGTGAAAAATGATCACAAAATATTTAAATAGTCACTTTAAATCTTGTGCATGTTTTCAATCAGCTTCAATGCAAACATGTGAGCGAAGTGGAGTTAATTTGCAGACAACTACAACAGATTAATATGAGAAAATACTCTACTCTAGACAAACCCGGGGCGATCTGGAAGGTATCTGGCAACTTTGGGGTCAATTATGGATCCAATTGCAGGACCAAGGCTGTCTCCAACAGATACATTACTCATGTCTTATTTTTTATTTCTTTTTTTTTTAGCAAAAAGTACAAAGCTACAGCCCAAATGTACAGATTGAAAAGATGTACAAATTACATTAAAAAAAATAAAACAAAAACAGACCGAGCTGGTAGTAAAAAAAAAAAACAAACCTGCATTTGTGACCGAGGTCAACTCGTTTTATTTACTCTTTCTTTTTTAAAACTGTGAGATATAGGGAAAAATAACTCTGCATAATTTATACAGTAATTTGCCTTGATTTGTTGACCCTTTGGACGACGGTCTGACAAACGCACAGCGTTCGCGAATCGCTACATCGAGGGGCCCCTCGGGCTCTGGCACCGCCCGGGGACCCGCTGTCATTTATTTCACTTCATTTTGCTTTCAAGGAATGTCTGTGCTCGACACCACGTCACGTTTTTGTCCTGGTTTCTGATGTTTCTGGAGTTAAGACACATTCTAATGGAGTTGTACACTCTAGAAAAGTTCCTTCAATGCCCTTTACTTCTTAAAATATACATGTACATATATATATATGAATATATATATATATTTAATTTCCAGTTGGGTGAAAAAAAAATCCTCATCTGCCTTTAAAGCTAAGATTCCAGTTGTGGTCCCCTGCAGCCCAGTGTCCTCCACTTAACAGTCAAATTGCCTACGTGCTCCACAGTGAGAGAAAACCCCAGGTAGTCATCCTTTCCTACGACCCACTGGTGGATCTATGTCTCGTCAAATGCCTTTGAATCCTTGAAAATTTCTCTAAGAATCATTCCAGGTAACGGTGAACAATCTTCATCGTCACTTCCTACAGAGGACACAAGCATCAAACCCCAAGGAAATGCAGAGTACTGGCCCACAGAAGCGTCTCTCCATCTCTCCATCTCTCTCTCAGTTCAAGACACAAGAGGCAAAGTTACAAAAGTAAAAGGTTTGGTCCAGGAATAACCAATATCCAGTTTTAATTCTTCCCCAGAAAGGCCACAATTATCCATTGAGGGTCCCCCAAAAAAACCATAAAAATCCCAGAAGTAAAGAAAAAGTCCAACCAGACTCGTGAAGGCCCCGTGGAGCTGAGAGCACTCAGTAATAGCTGCCCAGGTGAGGCGTGACGTGGGCGTTGGGGTGGCGGGGCACGTTGGGGTTCGGGTAAATGCTTCCTGCAGGGGAGGTCCAATAGGGTGAGGCCGCTCCAAAGAAACTGGATGACGTGACGGGCATGGAAGAAGGGTGTGGGGGCACAAAGTTCACCTTCTGCTGGTGGGCGTGGTACGACGGCATGTAGGAGAGATCCGACGGGTACTTGTACATGGAGGACTCGGTGGGGTGAGGCTGCAGGGCCTGGGCGATGCCGTGAAAGTCAAATTTGTAGGCATACCTCTTGCCGTGCACCTTGGTCATAATGTTCTTGTCGTAGTAGTATCGCAGGGCCCGGCTCAGCTTGTCGTAGTTCATGTTGGGTTTGCTCTTGCGCTCGCCCCAGCGCCGCGCCACCTCATCAGGGTCCGTCATCTTGAACTCCCCATTGGTGCCCTCCCACGTGATGCAGCTGGCGTTGGAACTGTCCGACAGCAGCTCCAGGAGGAACTGCCACAGCTGGATCTGCCCGCTCCCTGTGACACAGCCAGGGGAGAGGAAATGAGCCGCTGCTTCCTGCCCCCGGCACGGACAAAGGCAGGAAACAGAAGGACTATCTCGACCTTTGCTGGGAACGGCTCCTCCAGCCCTGGAAGGGCTTGCGTAGCAATGGATAAACTGTTCCCAGCAAACAAGTTAGTCAACCCTTTGTTCTGCTCCCGGGTTTGAGGTCAGATTAGATTTCATAATGGGCGCCTTTGGCCTTAAAATCTTCGGGCTGCTCATAAACAGGGTTTTTCCCGAGCAGGCTGCGCTGCAGAGCTTTTCACTGACAGGTTAACAGGGATAGTTCAGCTCTGCACTGCTCACTGTTTGCCATGGATATTGTTTGGGATACCTCCAGTTTCCTTTCCAGTTGGTGACCTGAGTTACATGAGATTATTTCTGCCCTAGAGTAGAGGTCCCCTGGTTTTTCTTGCTGTGGTTATACAAGTTAAGAGCGTTTTGAGGATGTTTTCTTACAAACATTCCGTGTGTTTCAGTTTGGTCAGTTCAAACAAGATTTACTCCAGGTCTCATTCCCCAAACTCAAGGATTATTTCCTGCAGATAACATGCTAGGGACAGTTATTATACAGGGAATTTCAGAGGTATTTTGTGCCTTCATTCATTTCATCCACAGCAGACAGTAAAACATTAACCTGGACTGCAAATCTGAGAGACCAGCACTTAAGTCCCCCATAAAACTCTATTTAAGGAATGCTTGGTTTGGGTAAGAACATTCAGGATGGTGATTTTGTCCTGACAAAGATGATGTTGCACCACTTCCCTCCCTTTTCTGTAAGGGTTTTTGCAAAAACCCTTGTGTGGGCACAGTTACTGAGCTCAGTGGCTCTCACAGCTCACCCCAACTAGAGGGACAGCAGCTGCTCATCCATCCTGGAGCAGCAGGTCGGCAGGAAATCTACCCCATTTGATGATGAGGGTCTGAAAGGTAAAATGAACTCACCTGGATTGGCAAGACGGCTGCTGGTGGGGCCCAGGACTTGATAGGGATCTAAAAAAACACCCAGCAAACTTACTTTAAAAAACGTTTCACCAAAAAGAAACAACAGTTCATTATGTTTATTCCAGAAACCAAATTTTCATTTTCTTTCTTGACTCTTTCTACCCCTTCTCCCAGGGCCTGGAACAGACCCCATGTGCTCCTTCTTTCTTTCTTTCTTACCAAACAACCACCAACTATTTCTGGAATCCAAAATGGCACAGTGTTTGTGGCACTGGTCTCAGCCTGTTTTCCCAGCCTGTAATCCCTTTGGACATACCCTACACTGATGTGTCAGCTAGAAAACAAGAAACATGGAAAAAATCACTGTGGGATAGTAGAAAACAACAAATCAGGGTTAAATATATTTCTCCTAATAAAAAGAGCTGGACAGCAGATGAGATTCTCAGATTCACTTGTTAGCAGCTGAGCTTGCTGCCCTCTGAGGTCCATGGAACATTCCCCCAACTCTCCCTTTCTGAAGCAAACAGAGCATTAGACAAATGAGAGTACCAGGAGTTTGTCCCTGGCTCCAGCGAGGCTGAGTGTTTCTTGAAAACCCCACAAAGTATTTATTAGGAGTAAATTCCTTCCCTTTTCGTGGGGCCTCCTCAGCCCTAATCTCTGCACTTCTCCTTTGCCTGTCTCTGGTTTTGGTGATTTGGACCTGTAGTGTTTGCTGGTGGATTGAATCGATGCCAAAAGCACCAATCCCCTGAAATAAAGCAGGGGGATGGAAAGCAGCTGTGCAGGGCAGGGGGTGCTGAGCCTTTCAAAGGCCCCTGGGGGAGCAGCAGGAGCTCCAGTGCTCCCTGCCCAGCGGGGTCTGTGGGTTGGGGTGGTTTGGGATGGAGGAAACCACGGTGGGTCTGTCTGGAGACACTTCCATGGGCTGTGCCCGAGGTGAGGAGGGGACAGGCTGGCGCAGCCCCACACCTGCTCCACAGCCTTGGGATGAGCCAGAGGGGATGAGCCAAGGCGAGGAGCCACAGTGGGACTGAGGTGGCACAAGGATGTTCCTTTGGCAGCAGAAGGACAGAGCAGCAAACCAGAAACCCTTTGGAACAGTCATTGGCCCTGTGGAGTCACTGCCTTGAGACCTCCCTGGGAGGCTCTGCCAGCTTGGCACAGAGTCAGAATATTGGAAGGGACCCACAAGGACCATCCAGTCCAACCCTCAGCCCTGCACAGGCCCAGCCCCAAGAGTCACCCCCTGTGCCCCAGAGGATCATCCAAACCCTCCTGGAGCTCTGGCAGCCTTGGGGCTGTGCCCACTGCCCTGGGGAGCCTGGGCAGTGCCCAACCAGCCTCTGGGGGAAGAACCTTTGTCTGAGATCCAACCTGAGCCTGCCCTGACACAGCTCCAGCCATTCCCTGGCTGCTGTCCCTGGTCCCCCCAGAGCAGAGCTCAGTCCCTGCCCCTCCTCTGCCCCTGCCCAGGCATTGGAACTGCAGTGAGGTCTCCCCTCAGTCTCCTCTGCTCCAGCTGAACACACCAAGTGCCCTCAGTGTCCTCACACGGCTCCAAATCCAGGCCCTTTCCCACCTTCATTGCCTCCTTTGGACACTCTCTTGGAGCTTTAGATCTTTCTTATATTTTAGTGTCTAAAACCACAGCTGGTTCTGCCTCTGACACATTTATCCCCCCAATGTGGGACCTCTCCAGGTGCTCCAGAGGGACAAATCCAACACTCACCTGGCTGGGGCCGCTGCTGCTCCGTCGTCTTGTTCACATTTTGTGTCCCTGCGACAGGAGGGCCTGGGGAGACAGAGAAAGAGCTTGTTTGTACCAGGACAGAAGGGGAGGAATGGACAGAGGACAGGGAAGTACAAGACACATCAAACAGGAATAACACTGGCTGGGAGGGAAAAGTTTCCTAAGCCTAAGGGCTGATATTTTTGAAATTGCACTATAAAGTTTAGAGATTTCACTAGAAATTAAAAAATTCACTGGAAAGTGAAAATATGCAGATGAGGCAAGAAAAATATTATTATGATAGATATATTTATATATATATATAAATTATTATTATTATTGATGTTTATTAATATCCTAAAGATGCAGCGAGACAAGGAAAATACTATGTAGATACTTTATTAACTTTCTGTCTGTCATTGCAACTTAACTTTCATTCTTTTAACTTCCATTCTCTACTTTGCACCCATGTTGTGAGCAGAAAATTGGATTTTTTGAAATGTGGTAACATGGGGCCTGTACAGAGGATTTGCTCCCAGTTCCTTAAATCAAATCCTGCAAATATTAGAGGTTCCTGCTCTCACCTTTAATACATGATTCAGTGATAAAAATAGTGGGGTCTGTTTCTATTTCTCTCCATAGCATAATTCCAGCTCTTATCTTACTGACTGTCTCAGAATTTTCCACCTTTCTGATGCTCCCAACACAAGCCATCCATGCCCATCTTCTCCCACAGCCTCGTTTTGATCTTCCCTTGCAAAATTTGTGATATCCATTGGGACAATTTACTTTTGGAGAGGCCAGAACTCACATTACTGCCCCATCCTGCTCTCCTGAATGCAGAGGAGGGACCTACTGACAAAAGACAACAGGCACAGAGGGCTGAAATCACCTTTTCCTAGAAAAACCTTGCAAGAATCTGGCTTGGGATCATGGTCCCAGCTGGCTTGGAATCCTGTAGGTCTGTATTTCTGTCTCTCTCATATCCCCTGTGCTCCCCTGGGCCCCTCACAAAGGCAAGGGAATGTAAATAGGGGTGGAAATAGAGTTGGAGCTGTTTGGGAAGTTCTTGAGCCTGATCTTGAAGTCCAGTCATGGCACCCAATGGAATTTGGAGCGTGACTCATCCCATCCAAAAGCAGACCCTCCTCCTTTTATCCCAAGATTCAGGAGACCAGGGGCAGAAAAGGAGGATGAAATGAACTTTTCTGTTATTTCATAAAAAAAACCAAATGGGGATTTTCAATCCGTGGAGGCTGGAGGCTCGAGGCACAGTAAGGAGGTTATTTTAAGGAGAGGGAAAAGAGGGAAAAACGTCCTCCCAAGTGACATTCCAAGTGCCCCTCTGCCCGTAAGATGCCAGTCGGGCTGCACATCTCCCTGTGGATACATCCCAGGGCACGGCAGGGCTGCACAGATCCCTGTGGATACATCCCAGGGCACGGCAGGACTGCACAGCTCCCTGTGGATACATCCCAGGCACTTGCACATTCCTGCCGGCGCTGGGAAAGCCGCTGCAGCTTTGAAATTCCAGCCCTCTGGTTATTGGCATGGAAAGGAAAACACGGAGGGAAGGGGAGGGAGGGGAGGGAGGGGGAGAAAGAGGAGGAGGGAAGAGAGAGGAGTGGGGGAAAACAGAGCTCGTGTAATCTGCCTGGTTTTATTTTTGTTTTAATTATTTGTTTTTTTCCCTTTTTGCAGAAACCACAAACCCCACTGCAAATAGATCAGACTGAAAAACAAACCGCTAAGGTTTCAGCTGGGGACAAAGAGTGGGATGGGACAGCCCGGGAAGAGGGAGGGGACAGCCCCAGCCACGCTGGCCCAGAAGGGAGCCCTGTCCCAGAAGGGATCTCTATCCCCAGAAGGATCCCTGATGACACAAGGGATCCCTGACCCAGAAGAGATCCCTCTCCTAGAAGGGATCCTTGTCCCCAGAAGGGATCCTTGTCCCAGAAGGGAGCTCTGCCCCCATGAGGGATCCCTGATCGCACAAGAGATCCTTGTCCCCAGAAGGGTTCCCTGTCCCACAAAGGATCCCTGATCCCAGAAGAGTTTCCTGTCCCAGAATGGAGCCCTGTCCCAGAAAAGAGATCTGTCCCATGAGGGATCCCTGTCCCCAGGAGGGATCCCTGTCCCCAGCAGTGATCCTTGTCCCCAGCAGTGATCCCTGTCCTCTGAGGGATCCCTGTTCCCAGCAGTGATCCCTGTTCCCAGCAGTGATCCCTGTCCCCTGCAGTGATCCCTGTCCCCTGAGGGATCCCTGTCCCCAGCAGTGATCCCTGTCCCCCCTCCCGAGGCCGGACAAGGCTCAGCAGGGTTGGACACTGGTTTGCAGCCTGGTGCTTCCAGGAACTTTATCCCAAGCTCAACCCTCAGCTTGTCCTTGCTGTAAACAAGGTGCTGCTCGCCCTGGTGGCATTTTCCTGGCTGGAAAACCATCCTGGCTCCATCCCAGTGAGCCAGAGCTCTATCAGGGACTGAGATCAGGAGAGCAAGGACGAGGGCTGAAGCCTTTTCCCATGTCCTCCCTGCAGCCAGGCTCTGACTTCCATTTCTCCCCTGGGATCTCCTTCTGAAGGATTACAACAAGAACTATTAGAGAGATGCTTTGGGAAATATTTGGAAAAACCATGAGTCCTGCATTGAGAAAGGCAAAACCTTCAGAAATCTCCACTGATTTAGATGCTAATGTACATTTTGGTTAATTCAGCCAATAAAGAGTTTGTCCCAAATGTAATGTTAATGGAAATGTCACATGGTGATCCTGGTAAAAAACAAGGTGGAAATTCATTTTCCAACAGAAGAATCCTTTATAGATTGGGGAAAAAGTTTCTTTGCAAAAACTAGCAGAACTCATTGAAAATGTTCACTTTTCTCTGATATTTTGGGGTCAGGTCATTGACTCAAGTGAATCAACTCCTACAAAGGGGTTGGTTGATTCAGTCCTTGGTGTGTTTGGAGTAAATAAATAGGCATCATCTGGAGAGATGATCTTCCTCCTCCTCCACATGGAGAACCCCTTTCCCAGAGGAGGAGCCTGCTTTGCTCCAGTGTCCCAGAAAGAGGAGTTTTAGCCCATAAGTGACACTATTCCAGATGTGCTGACCAGGCCTGGATCCCTATGGCTGGGCAGGATCAAGGCTTGGTTCAAGTTTGGCTAAGCCTGGTCAAAATTATCATTCCAAACCTCTCTGAATGGGTTTTCTTGTAGCCTGGAGTTTTAGGATGTAAAATGTCAGCTTGGAAGTGTGAATGTGACTGTGCCCAGGTGGCCTGAGATGAGTTCCTTTGCCTTAGTTCTCCCTGTATAATACAGATTATGGAGTAAAGTGTAGGAATATATCGTGTTGTAGGATGAGACTGAGTTCTGAGCACGACTTTGCCATGGTGAGAAGGGTTAAATGCAATAATCAGCAATACAGACACTGCTGTTGAAGCAACGTGTGCACTCAGCTACTGCAAATTTCCAACTCTTTCTCTCCCTCTCAAAAATAATCGTCCAAATCCACGAAACTATTTTTATTTCACAAGAATCTGTGCAACGTGAAGGAACCACTCCAGCCCTCCCAGCTCCCAGGCCCAGACTCTAAAGCTGAACGTGTTCAAAGCAAAATGGAAAAGGCAGAGCCAGGGAACGTATCCAGAGACTCGGGTTCCTGCAAAAACAGATCATTCCCAGGACCTGACGCCCAGTGGCTCGAAGAGATCCTACAGAACTCCAGCCAGCCAGTGACAGGGAGCCTTATCTGTCATTAAAACCACTTGGGTTTTACACCAAAACTTGCCATGCGATGGAAATTCAATTAAAAGACTTGGCCTGAGGTTCTGTCCTGGTGTAAATCAGCAAATAGCAACAGTGGAGTCGGGGGTGAATTTACACCAGCAAAGGATCAGGTCCCCATGTCTGGTTTAGACTTAAAAGGCCCCGTGGAACAACAGTCCAATGACAAATGTGTGTTCAATACAAAATGGAATTAAAGAGCAGAAAATAAATCAGAGATGCTTTCAAGAAATGTCATTGTGCAGCTGTCTGGTTTATGTCCAGCAATTCCCCAGCATGAATGCAGACTCTATTAGGAGGAAGGTAAAGGATATTAATAATGCTTTGCACTTTCACAGCACCTTTCAACCGAGGATCTCACAGCTTTGCAAACATTCGCACTCACAGCGCGCCCGGGAGGGAGGTTAAATATCATTTTATTTATTTGCATGCATAAAGACACTTTCCTCAGGCTTTAGCTGCCTTTTCCAGATGAACTGACTTTCCCAGAAATCAGGCTGAGTGGAACAGGCTGTAGCACTGATCTCTGGACCCTTTCTAGCCTTAGTCTCTACTTTCTCACCCCAAATCTCCCTCAGCTTCTGCCTCTCCACCCTCTGTGCCATTTGGAAATGTTCATCTTCTGCTGAGCAACTCCCCTTTCAAAGTCTAGTGATTCCTCTGGAATTAGGTGTAAATCAGAACTTGCAGTGGTGAGACAGCCTGCCAGGCTCTGCAAGGGCTGAGAAAAAGCTTAAAAGATGGCAAAATCAGCAAGGCCAAGGCTGGGCATGAGGCAGGGGGCCTGTAAAGCTCAGCAGATGAGTTGGATCAGCCAAAGCTCTGCAGGTCCCTCCTGTCAGACTGTTTGGTGCAACAAAGGAAGGGTTTGATCTGGGAGTGTGTCCCAGGAATGCCAGGGCTGAGCCTGGGGTGTGGAGAGGGAGAAGGGCTGCCCACTGTGCCCTGTGGAGTGTGCAGGAGGCACTGGGAGGGGAAGGGAAGGCAGCTCCAAACCCAGCTCACCCTTCCAGCCACCCCATGTCCCAGCTGGGGCTGTGCCCCCTCTGCTGCTGCCCAGAGCTCTGGGGCAGATTTGATCTACACAGACTGTTAGATACTGCTGGGGCAGATGGACAGACACAGAGACTCCCTTCCCTAGGAAACCAGGCTTCAAATCCCCCCGTGGATTCCACCCCACAATCCCAAACCCCCAGCAGTCCCTCCAGCCTGAGAGCAGTGCCGTGAGTGAGGCATGAGGGAGGCTGTGTTTCAGATATGATGTATTAGGGAGCAAACC